CCCACCAATTTCCCCTGCATGGCAATTAGATTCCAAAAAGCCTCTCATATTTTCCAGAGAAATGACTACAGAGCAGGAGCAATGACCATAGCAGTAACATTTTGAGTTTTTGTTGCACTCTTAAGGCAGCATTGTGGAAGGATTTTTCCTGTAACGTCCAAAAATATAACCCTGCTATGCAGCAGATGTAACAAGCAACACAGAGAGAGTGCTGCCTGCAGAAAGGACTTTCTGTATAAGGTAATAACTGCTCCAGAGGACTTTGTTTCTGTGATGCCTCTGCTGAATATTTAATTCCTGGTAAATTTCTATGTGGAAAGCATATCTACTTCTATTTAAAATGCCAGCTACTTCTGGATGCCCTGATTTGCTGTATATGAATGCCACTACATGCAGAAACAATTTGATCTTCCACCTTCCATGATAATCAAATCAGTCCAAGCACTGCTAGCTAAAGAATAGGGTTATTTTCCAGCAGAAACTCCTCTTCTTTGTGTCACACCCTCATCTTTGGAAAATCTATACAGGATTAATTCTCCCTGTACACTAGATTATGTCAGTAGTGTCTGCTGTATCTAATGATTGTCCTAGGTCAGCAAATGGGTTTTTAAGGTAAGTAGGAGACTCCCTACCTCCCTTCCTCAAATAAAAAATGGAAATTGCTGTTAGTTACCCTAGATTTTTTCTAAGTGGCATTCTAATATTCAAATCTTAGCCAGCTTTCCCTCTAGAGGGGCAGTGGAACATCAGAGTATCGCTTTACTTAATTAATTCATTTATTTATAGAAGCAATCACTTGAGGAGGGAAGGACACAGAAGTTCATAATAATGCAGGGCCCTTCTATCCCTAAGGGCCTCAAAGCACTTTACTAACATTAATGAATCCACTCTAATAGTGCCCCAGGGGAAACATGAATGTTACCAGAGCAACTCTATCATTTCGAAAATATGCACAACTGCCACCTGGCTGCTTTATTTATTCATTCGTTCATTCATTTCTTCATTCGTTCTATAGTTTGGCCCAGATCTAGACAGTAGGCTGTTTTATATTTGAATAAATTTTAAGGAGTAAATTAAGCGATTTTTCACATGCAGATGAGGAAGTGCACTTCCCTCTCTTTAGCACAGGTGCTCAGGAAAAGAATCAGCCTTGCTGAGAGTTAAACTAAGGTCAAATGCAGGTAATTATGTCCAGTCACCTGGCAAACCGAACTACACTGACACAAAAGGATAATTTATAATCACAGTCCACAAAGCTTAGTTACAAAGACAAGAAGATCAGAGACAACTTTTTTTTGGGGAGGGGAGAGAGAGAGAGAACGAGAGCACACAAAAAATGAAAAGAGAATCAAGGGTTGGGACAGGGAGGATAAATCAAGGACATGAACACAGCAGGAACAATGTGAAGTGGAAAAGAAAAAGAAAAGCAATGGAATTTGCCAGCAAGCAATCCTTTGGGATTGCCCAATTACTTTGGGCCAATTATTCATGCAATTTTCAGGTGGCAAAGTTGTGGGAATTCCTGAACAATCCATATGGCTTTTGCATGTCAATATAATTTCCTGAGAACAAAAAACTCTTAGTTTGCATTTAGCCACAATATTAAGCACAGACCTAATCTCTTCAGATGTTTTTTGGGCATAAATCAATCCCCATCAGTAGGTCCCAAAACTACAGATTTTGGGGGAAGGGGGAGGTGGTTCTTTCCATTCCCCTTTATGACCCTCACATCAGGCACATTCCTTTGGGCAGCTTATTTAAATATATGGATATAAATTAAGAAATGGCTGTTGTAATTTCAATAGGAACATATTATATCTTAGCTTAAGGGGAAATATTGTAACTCGGTGACTTGTATATCTCCTTTCCTGGTGTTAACTGTTGATGGGCAACTTCAAGCCCCTGCACTTTCTTCTTAATTCTCTTTATCTTTAAACTGGACTTGGACCAAGTAGCTCGCCAAACAGAAGGTTGCAGAAGTGGGCCTCATGGCCACCTAGCAGCTACATTTCCAGGTGAAGCTTCAGACACAAAACTCTAGGGGAGGGTACCCTTCACTGCAGGTGACAGCTTCTCAAGGGCCCTTAGGAAAACACCCTCAGGCAGTGCCTTCCTCAATAAATCCATTTTCCCACCTTGGTCACCAGCTGCTCTTGCTCCTCATCTTCCTTCTCATAACTGTTACCATTTGCTTACAGGGAGCCAGTGAGCAAGCAGGTAGTGGCATGCACTGCTCCTCCATCTCACATCCCTCTTGTATGGATCCGAGCAATGCAGGTGCGCAAGCAGGTTGCCATGGTAAAATGGAGGGCAGGGCCAGGGGTTCTTGTTAGAGGCCTCTGTTGAACTGTGGACATCTGGCAGGTGCCTAGCACTGCCTACCTTGGCTCCATTGCTTGCCACCGATGTTGATTTGAACCAAAACACTCCTTTTCTAAAACAAAGCTCTTGTTCTTTGTTTAATGAAAGCTATTGATTCATGAATAGAAAAGGGCTTGCCGGGGTGGGGACATCATCAGTGAAACAGAAGATAGGCATGATGAATCCATTTTCCAGGCACAGTGGTGCACCTCCTGGCCTTACTTACAGTCCTGTTTGGACCTCAGCATTTTAGAAGCCCTGAAACTGTTGGCATTTCTCATGAATATTGTACTGCTATCTCTTCGAGCACAAATGTCTGGCATCACTACTTGTCTCTCATCACTTTACACATTTGCTCTGTATTCTTCACAGCTAGAGATGCACTTAAGAAGAAGTTAGGATTGAAGTAGGAGTCACTAGATTCAGAGAAATGTCAGTGCATCATACCTGTAGTTACTGTCGTTTTCTGATCCCAAAGAGTATCCTCACAGCTTTCCCTCCAGGGCATTTAGTTGTTTTACATTTCCTTAGTTTTAAAACATCAAATTGTTTTGTTGCCTAGTGGAACCCTATAAATAGGTAATGCAAAGGTGACAGCTGTTTTCCATTTACATCCCAGTTTATATCTAGGGTTCTTTTTATATTAAGAAGACCTTTTTAAAAAAGAGATATCTCTATCAAAACAGCTCATTTGGAAATGTCAGGTCTGCTTCTGATAAGTCATCAGTCATGGTGATTAGTGCTGACAGATGCCCTGTAATAGTCCTGTGGTATCTAATATACTACACTGCAGTCTTTTGTAATATCATATTATTTACTTTATTCAGCCTGGCATGAAATCTCTCCTGGAAGAATATGAAGAGCGGGAGGAAAAAGTTAACCCCTGGGAAGCCTTTGAGGATTTCTTTTAGATCTAAGGGAAAAAGCTGTCCCTGATTTGAGCAGGAATGCTATCTTCTTTGCTATTAGTTAAAAATGCACACTGAAATTTATTATTTAAATTTAAATAAATGTTGTATATTTTAGATGAACGTGGTTTGCATTGTCCTACTTCTCTGAGTGCTGGGGGATTCCTGGATCAGGTTACTTTTGAGCACTAGAACTATATAGTTCCCTCACACACACACACAATTCCATCTGTTCATTTACAAGTTACTGGTTGAGCATGGAAGGGCAGACAAGCAGTCAGCGAAACAATATTAATCTTTTAAGCTGTACCAGTTTCCCTGAAGCAAACATGCAGCCCTTAGAACCCCCTCCCACCCAGTTTTGCAGCCAGCTGTAAAACTATGATTTTTGTTCCCTTTGGCTATATTCCAGCTGCCAAATTGTTCCCTTCAGTTCCTATCCAAACAGATGGAAAGTCTAGTAGTAGCTGGCACCCACCAGTCATTAACTATGCTCTCTTATGTGGATCTAGTCAGAAGTAAGTCCCATGGAATTCAATAGGACTTACTTCCTGGTAACAATATATAAAATTAAGAAAACTTTTCCATCCATCACAATTCAATAAAAGTACATTTCTAGATGTATTTAGTGAACAACATAACATTCCTATCCTAAACGATTCACAGTTAAGTTATCAAGCACCAGCTTCCAGGTTAGGGTTGCAATCAGTATCTGTGCTATTCCTGTAACCATGTGGTACTATGATATCAGTGAAATGCAAACTCTGCACATGCCCAGAGTTTGTTCATTTTTTAAGTCAAGGTTGGTAGCAGACCACTTTGTTGTTTCAACGTATCAGGAATACAAAGGCAATTGTAAAGCACTGAGTGGTGATTGCTGTGGGCAGAATAGAGTTTATAGTTGTATTATAACATGACTCAGAGGCCCTCATACAATCATTAAGCTGAAGGTCTAAAATTGCCTCACAGGAACACCCTGTGGTCCTTAGGGCAGAATCCTATGGCTTTCAGGCTTTCAGGTGGCAGTTTTTCAGCTTCTGAGGGTTTGCTCAGAGAATTAAAGCAGGTTTTCAAGACCTCGTGAAAAGGAAGCAACAGAGTGCTCCGACAACTGTTCTTGGGAACAGGTTTTGGGTAGATATGAGTGAGAAGTTTTTGTTTTTGATAACTTAGAAAAATTGAAAATTTATTCATAAATAGGATAGAGAGTACTTGGGAATCAAGTAATCTGAATATAAGAAAAAGCAAAACTGGCAAATACGCCGATCCCAAGTACTGTGACAGGGCAGTGGAGAAAGTCTAAGCAGGCTGCAAGCAGAGGGGGTGTTCTCAGTCACAATACATGTTATGCAACAAAGGAATAAAAATGGAGTTAAATGCGAGTTAAATGCCAACCCCAAGACCCTAAGAATGACAACCTATGTGAGTTCAGCTTTTATTCAGTTACTACCTGAAGGATTTCCAATTTATTTTTGAAAGGGAGAGAACATATTGAAAGACTATCAGCATCATTTCTAGTGGAACATGTGATGATGAGAGCCAGTGTGGTGTAGTGGTTAAGAGCATGGGACTGGGACTCAGACGATCTGGGTTCTAGTCCCCACTCAGCCATGGAGCCAACTGGGTGACTTTGGGCCAGTCACAGACTCTCAGCCCAACCTACCTCACAGGGTTGTTGTTGTGGGGATAAGATGGAGGAGGAGAATGAAGTAAGCTGCCCTGAGCCCTTTGTAGGAAAAAGGCAGGATATAAATCGAAAAATAAAATAAATAGATGATGATGATGGTGGTGGTAGTATACATGTTCACATTTCTGAACATGCTTAGAAGGATAAATAAAGTAAAAAAAACATTGAGAACTAAAGACAGGAAGATGTGTAGAAAGGGACATAATGGCAGAGAGCATTGGGAAACCCAATGGTTCGACAAGGATATGAATGGCAAAAAAATGCAGCTAACCATTCATATGCCCTGCCACTGAGAGACTCAAACACATGCCCCCCATACATGAAAAGTGAGTGAGTGGGGACAGCATGGGCTGATCCTGTGTACACTGCCAGGGCACCCACCAGCCACATAATCGGCATCTCTGAGAAGGGCCCTATATATATACCAGTGTCCATGAACACAGCTCTTCCGTGTGCGGGGTGATCATGAATGGCCCGAGACACTGCATACCTGTACAGCAAGCAGTGTACCTACAGGGACACGTCCTTGCTCACCAAGCAGGAGACCAGAAGGTTTGCAGGTGCTGGGCTGTGCAGAGCAATGCTAACCTGCAGGGCTTCATGACTGGCTCATACCTGCTTCTAACATGTGAAGGCGTTCTCCTGAGCCCCCTTTTTGTGACATTTACAGCCAAAATGATAGACCAGCCCATGGGTCAAGGTGGGACTATGGCACCGTGACGTATAAGAACTAACAAATAATTTTGCAAACAGGTAAAGAGGCACAGCATGAATTTATAGAACAAATATAAAAGATGGGATATGTAAAGGGATAAAAGGACAGCAATAAAACAATGAAATTTAAAATGCATAATGGGGGAGAGAGTCCAGGTCTGAACAGAGGAGGAAATAAAAGTAAAGGGGCTGAATCATAAAGCCAAAAATGTAGCTTTATTTTCAGGTCCCCAACATAATAGATTAAAGAATCACAATTCATTTTTGCCACCAGCTATGCTTCCATTTGTTACATTGAAACCAGCAGAGTGAAACACATGAATGAGACCTTTGATGAGAATGAAACAAAGCCACTTAGAGGTTATCTGGATGAAACAACATTTCAGAAGACTTTGACTCAGATGAATACCTAGCATGTGGCTTTGATGGCTTATGAAGTCCTGAAATACAATTAGGATGGAGTTGCTAGAAGATCTGCTGGAAGCAATTTTGACATCTTAAGGCCCAATTGACAGCAGATTTGCTTCTAGATGGAGTCCATGCAGTACAGAGTGGTGGCAGACAAGTCTCTAAATGGAGATTTAAAACAAGATCCAGCCCACACACCAAATAGGCATGAAACATCGACTGTTTTCTTCGAAAGAGCAAAAAGCAACATCTGGTAGTGGATGACTGAGGAGTAAACCACCTCCAGAAGAGCTTTTGAGGAGTCTTAGAAAGGAGCTGTAAAAGGCTCCTTTGGACAGAATCCCAAAATGGATTTAGGGACCGCTAACATCTTGGCTTGTTCATAGAAGACAAAGAGGGAGCTTTGTCTCAGGCTGTGTTCTATGATGTGTATTGAATTGCTGTTAAGATAGCCTTGAAATCAGGTTTTTCAGGGTCACTGGACAAGAGACCTTCCATAAGCTTCATTCTTCTCTGTGTTTACTTTCTCGCTATCATTGTCACTAACTGCTATCGCTTCTCATCTTTATCATCATTGCTATCATTTGCTTCTTGCTCAACAGACAGAGAGCCAGTGAAGATGCAGGCAGTATCGTCTACTGCACCTCTTTCTCATGAGCCCTCTTGTTTGGGTCAGAACAAGAGGTAGATAATCAAAAAGGCCGCAACAGTAAAGAGGAGAAGCAACTTTTCTCAGTGGTACCCTGCCGGAGTGAGGGCTCTCATCTGGTGCCCAAACATGACTACGTTTGACACCAGCCCTGCTGGAGACTCTGTATAATTCTATGGACAAATGAGAGATACCCAGAAGATTTATCTTGCTTGCTTGTCTTTTTCCAACTCCAAGGTGCATCTTGATATCTGGCCAGAGGTAATAAGAATTCCCAGGTGGCTGCTAGGGTTGCAAGATCACCAGGAAAGACAAGATAAGGCATAACTCAAACGGGAAATAATATGGGCCATCACAGCAAGTCATAGCTACAGTAAATAAATAAACAAACAAACAGAACATACTTTGAAACTTGAGGGAGAATGGAACAAGGAAAGAGGATTAACTGCCAAGAATATGAGGACTCACCATTACCATGCTGTGTAGAACCAGGGAACTGTGGAAAGATTAATGAACTATGATATAGAGCAAGAAGTGTAGAGCTGTCAACTAGAAAAGTTCAGATTAAAAGCTCAGACAAAGCAAAGAAATGACAAGAAGCATAAACTGAATTAATACTGTGAAAATATAGATAATGAGAGGGATGTGCAGAAATTCAGATCAACTTTGCTGGCTAACAAAAATAAAATAGGGATAAGCAATGCATTAAATACATCCTAGCAAAGGAGTAAAGCTTAGAGCCCAGCATAGGAAGTAGAGCTAGTCTTCTGTCCTAGGAGAAATGACTAAAAGTGGTAACTAGCAAATCTGGTAGGTAAACTAAAAATGTGCTTAGCTTTCATTGAATTATTGAGGCTGTGTCATGCAATGACCACTGCTTAGAAGGAAGAGACATCTCTCCCATGTTCCTGAATAGCATTATTGATCCACATGAGCCCATGAAGGACAGCATTATGTTGTGATAGGATTGTGTTGTAATAGGATTTTTGTTTGTTTCTTTTAAAAGCATTTTATGTTGATCAGAATTTGGGCACATGAAATATAGTGCACTGAAATGCTATTTCTTGAGGTCTTCCTTCAGTCCAGAGGGTTACCCCTACTAAAGCACTATCCATTGGTGAGAAGATGAAAGTGTATGTGAAAGAAACCTCAAAGGCAATGTTACGAATTTAGCTTTTGTCTCAAATTACTTCTCTCTCTCTCTCTCTTGTTCTCTCTCTCATTCTTTCTCTCCTTCTCTCTCTCTCATTGCCTCTCTCTCTCTATCTCTCTCTTTCTGTGCATGCGAGAGAGAGAGAGAGAGAGAGAGAGAGAGAGAGAGAGAGAGAGAGAGCGAGCGCACACACACTTTCATTACACATTTCACAAGGAGGGTCAGGCTTATTGAACCCAGTCTGTTGATTTTGGCATAAGCTAAAAACCTGAGCACATTTTAGTTGCATAAAATGACATCCCAACCTTCAGACGTTGCCTTGTTACTGTGGATCCTGTTTTTGAAATGCTGTCTGTCACATCTTTGTCTTTGGAGTCAGTTTTGAATGTTCATCTTTACCTGGAAAGACAGACAGTGTTGTAGTTTTGTCATTGTTGTTTTATTTTTAAATGACCTTCCTCGTATTGTAACCCCCTCTGAGCCTTTACTGTGGGGTGAGGCAAGAATAAAACTAAGAATAACTGTAATAATGCAATGCTGAGACTGGTGGGCTCATTTGTGTGGGTGACAGGATTGAGAAGAATGCTCTGCTCTACCTATAAGAGAAAGATAAATGGTGTACATGGGACTGATTGTGCGACAGGCAAACTTCCACTTGACAAAGTGCCAGCTTCATAAAGACAAGCCCGGCTCCAACATTGGAACTGGAAGCCTGGTGGGTATTAATGTGTCTGATGCTGGAATAACAATCCCAAAATGCATACTTCTATCATGCCGGCAGCTCAAGCTTATGGTTCTGTTGCCATTACTCAAGCTGTGATTGGAATCATAAAACGCAGGTGAGTACTATGTTCCCACATTAGTTTGTGGCTGATCTGGAAAAAAGATTAGACCCTTGAGAAGAGGAATATCTGGATACAGCGCATACATCCTCTTCTCTTCTCTTCTCCTCTGTGCAGGACTGGGAAGAGATCCAATCTTAAAAGGCAGGACAAACTGCCCATAATAGGACAGATGTAGTTCATAGGATGGAGATGTGCAATCAGTGTTATTTGCTAAGCAGCCGAGACCCCATTAGTGGTTCTTTTTTCTCCATCCCCAGAGATGAAAGGAGGCAATGATTCCAGCACATTACAGAGCAATCTGGACGGAGGTCTGAAATGTGAAACTGCAACCTAGGGTCAAGGTACAGTGGCCACATATCTTACTTTACAGCAGGTGACCCTAGGTTTGAAAGACTCTTCTATCTGGTCATACTCTGTTTGAAGGTCTGTCCAGGCCAAGTCCTGTTTAAAGATAAAGAGCCATAAGCAGGTGGGAGAACAGGAGCCTTCACGCTTCCTGTTGACCAAGGGAACTTGGACAGCAGACCAAGCAGCATCCAGTTCACCTGGTCACAGTCTTACCCCTAGGATGATATGCTTTGTATTTCTACTGAAATGATAGCATTGATTTCCAAATCTCCATCTATAGATTATAATATGAATCAGGATTTTCATCTTTAGTCAAACCCATGTCATCTTTTGTCTTCCTCTCCATACATGAACAGACCCCTCAAGATGCATTCCCTCTCCCTCTCCCTCTCTCTGGCAAAGGTAGACTACCTGAAGGATGACACATCACAAAGTGAAGAAAGATAACCCATGTTAAATAAGTGAAACAGTTACCTGAATATATTGCCTCTTCCATCTTGTAGAGCCTCTGTCCAATCTTGGACAAACCTGTTCCCAACCACACTTTACAACCCAGGACTAAACAAAAGACATTTGAAACCACATTTAATATAGCTTTGTGTGTGTGTGTGTGTGTGTGTGTATGAGAATGAGAGAAAGGCATGACTCTTGAAATAGTGATGTATCACACACCCTTTCAACCTCTTACCAATGCACTAAATTGCTTGTTCCTTGAAAAAGGCAGCCTTATAAATCCCTGTCCACAGCTTGCACTTTTGTGGTCTGATTGTAATAAATTTTCTCAAAGTCTTAGCTTTATTCAAGTGTTACAGACCTAACATTTCATTTTAATGAATTGCTTTTTGCACACCGCCTTGAGTTCTAAAGACTAGTCCAACAAAAATGCAAAAAGTTATTTAAAATATTTATAGGGTGGTGTTCAAAAAGAGGGGGCACTGCCACTGCTACTTGCTGGCTGGCCCATGCTGGGAGTTGTGGGAATTATTTCTGTCTAACTGTGCATTCAAGATTTGTTTCAGAGGTGGAAGCAAGAGGACATCTAAAGCATTTGAAGTTTCTCCATTCATGAATGTTTGTTTTGGCGTATCTAGGGTGTGTCTGTCTACATGCTTGTTTTGGTTTTGCTACTGCCTGAATGGAAAGTGCTTCATCTCAATGTTAAATGTGGACTTCAGGGTTCATTTAGTTCAGACTGTGGGATGCTGTGACAAATAATGCCTTCCTTTCCCTCTCATCTGTCTAAAATACCTTTGAAAAACACCATGGTCAGTCCAGATTCCCCAGCCAATTTATATCTCTACATATTCCAGGGTCACTCTCATGTTTCATCTCCCCTGCTCCGTAACCCAAGTTATGTAAAAGACACAGTGTATAAATCATCTACAGGATGTATGACCAAGTTCCCCACACTACTGATTGGACAATTTGGATTTCCTTCCTACCTGTCCAATAGAAATAGTTGGGCTTGTTGAGATTTTCTTTGCCTGGAAGGCGAAGAGGCAACATTGGCCTAGCTGTGCCAAGAAATCCAATGCGTGGACTTCATCCTGTCTCCCACCATAAGCTGCTGCGCAGATTTACTATATGGCTTCTATACTAGATGGAGAAGTAAGTTGCAGTGAGCTAATGTGCTGTTTTGTTTCATTTCTTGTAAGTGGCTGATTCTTTCTCAGCTTCTTTTTACTTGGTTCTTTAACACACACGTGGGATGGAAACTGGAGTTGATTTGATTGTCTCCCCCTAGCCTGGAATCAGCCTCACTCATGGGTTAGACTGCACGGCAAGCACACTCCCCAAGTTGTTAGGGAGTTTAAAGGTACCTCCAAACACAGCTCTGTTTTCATATGTATAAGCTGTAAGTCCGCCTTGTCCTTTGGGTGTAATAAAAGATATTGAAAAGACACAGGAGTGGCGGTGGTGCTACCTCTGAGGCAAAAGGGTATCTTGTGGCAGCCTTCGCATCGTGGAGGTGCAGGCACACCACTTTGGTACAGAGGCACTAGTGGCCCTGAGCATCACAGGGATGCCAGAATTAAGCAGCAGCTGTGGACTTGGTCTTGAAGAAAGCTGCAAACTTTCCCTGATTTCTAGACACAGAATGTACAGCTTTTATGAAGCCGCGTTCAGCTGAAATGCCTTGGAATGGGCACACTCGCAGCTAAGCTAGAGTTTCCTGTGCACTGAATGTTGGCCCCAAAGTGCTGAATTAGCACTTCTTGTGGCTTCAGAGGATGGGAGGGAAAATCAGACTAGGAGCAGCTTTGGACATTTTATAAACATCCAGCGTTCACCAAAAGAGTCTTGAAAGACTGCAGCTTCCTTTCCATGGTTAAGGCCATAATAGCAATTTTTGAGTCTGAAAAATAATCAGAAATGAACTCCCACTTTGTATTAGAGCAAGATGAAATTGTTTTTTGAAAGACTGCACTCCAGAATTGCAGTGTTTCCTCCATTTTACCATTGCTTTAACATGTGAAGGAATGCTAGCAAAACCATTTCACCTCATGAAAAGCTGAGGGGGAATCCACATTGTTGTATTGACTTTCCTAGCTAACAAATGAGCCCAGTGAATTGACCTTTAAATTCAAGACTTCTGTTTCAAAATGTTATTCAAACTCACCTGCCAATCTTTCTTATTTATTTATTTCTAGTAGAATACTCTCAAGATTTCATACAAGATTAAAAATATGTCAAAACAAATAGAAAAACAAGTGATAAGTATTCAAAAATATTATAAAAACAGGTGGCACCAATAAAACTTGCAGCCCATGGATTATGAAAAGGTCATTGGGTTTTCAGAGACTTCCAGATTATCTGCAAAGAAGAGGCTTCATTTGTCTCACATCCAGATTTGTGCATTTTTCAAGTGTGAATTTGAAGAAAGGTGAAAATGCATACAAATAAATTTGTGCAAATGTGATTTCATCTGTAAGTGGATGATGGAATGAAAGGCACTTGAAAATCCACAAAATGCAGACAGAATGCATTTAACAAAGTCTATACAACCCTACATATTTGTTCTCTATACTGATAATTGGCATTGGTAATTTTGTTAATTGGTCTGGCTGTTTAAACATGTTCTTGCTGCTGCTATTAAATCATATTTTCAATTATTTTAATATAAGCTAGTTGAAAGAGTTTGTTGAACTTTGAAGACCTTTAAAATATGATAAGTGGTATATAAATCTAATAAACAAACTATCATTGAATAAATAAATGCATTTTCTCAAGGTGCATCCGCTCATGCTTCACCCACAGTCTTTGCTGAGATCCTATATGCAGTGGGGGTAGAAAGAGGTAGAATTGATTCAACAGTGTCTATGTCATGAATCCTTGAGGATGCATATACATTAGCTGAGCATCTATCCTCATTCCTGCTTGTACATGGATACCTGAACTACTGGGATACATAAGTCAAAGTGTATATATCTGCATACGTTTCTGTATTCCTTACAAGCAACATAGGGAACTGTGTTTTTCACCATGGAAAATGATGCATGTTTAAAGCATATTAGTTGTGACCTTATAATCTTCTGAACAGCAGTCATAGTTTGGATTAAGGCAATTTATGTGATTTAGACCTGATTGCTGTTTCCATTTTATAGGAGAAAGCTTTGTCTCAGAGATGAAAAAGCAAAGAAGCAACTTACCTGAATTCTTTGGAGAGAATGACTCAGAGAAAAAAACATATAAGCAAATCCAAGCCCTTAGCCAAAAACCTGCCTGCAAATGGCAGCATTTTTTTCCTGTCATTAGGGCAAAAAGTAAGAGTGGGCAACCTCTAACCTATGGGCCAAATGCAGAGCCCCAGGTTTTCACCAGGCCATGCTTCTTCACCAGCCCTGCATTAGGTAATTGATGCCATTTATGCTTCCCTCCAACCATTGCCATGTTAGGAAATACAAGAGTGATAGAGGAGCCTTGGAAGCATATGCCCCTTGGTGCAAGCGTCTGGTTGTTGTTGGGTATTCAGTGGAGCTAAGAGTCTTGCCTGGGACCTTACCTACTTTTGGCTGTAGCCACACTGACTGCTAGAATGCAGACCCAACTGGTTTCAGCTGAAGTAATGTGGACCCTCCTAGGGGAAAGTCTTTTTCATGCTTAGCCAAAAGAATAAGCAGCTATTCTGTCATACACGGGGGAAGGGAAGGGAAGGGAAGGGAAGGGAAGGGAAGGGAAGGGAAGGGAAGGGAAGGGAAGGGAAGG